AGCACTACATCATGTTTTATTAAAATAATCACAACGATGAACAGGTGTTGCACTTTACTGATGAAACTGAATCAACTTTATGAACTCTGATCAGAGCTGCTCTGACCTCCATTGTCTTGTTGTTTGCCCACTAGATGCTCCTATTTGCAGAAGACAAAAAACAACTCGTGCGCTTTACGTGGATGTTTCTTTATGTCCAGAAGCGCGGGGGGGGGGGGGGGAATGACGTCATTGTGCTCAGCAGCTGGTGTACAGCTGAACGGAGCCTGAGATCTCTGCTGATTCGCGATGGAAGAGATGTAAATCGCCTGTTCTGCCCGCTGAGGAAGGTGAGGAGAGCACGGGGGGTTTTATTCTGACCGAGCTGCTTGTTTTAGATTAAAACATCCTGGATTATTTAATCTGCTGCGCTTCCTGAATCAGGCTGAGGTGTTTTTATATATTACATATATATATATATATGGTTCTTAATGATCGATGAAGGCTGTTACCTGTATTACCTGTCATTTGCTGTGGTTTAGAAACATCCGGTTTGAAGCATCATTTGCTCATGGAGTCGTGGTGCGCGAGCTGCAGCACGATGACGCTGCTCGCGCGCAGCAGGAAGCCTCTCTTCTGCAACACAAAGGCTGCATTGAACAAATAAACGTCATCAAAACAAGAAAACACGTTTATTAAACCGAGCTGGGAGTCCATCCTTCCACCATCTCATCAAATATAAACCAAACAAGTTCCTTCACGGAGAAATAAAACATATTAATGCTTCATGAATTAATAATTATTCATTTACAGTTCTTCTTGGTTCACATTAGTTTTCTCATGAGCAGAAACTTTACTGAAATAATGTCAATTTAAGTAAAAATGTTGGTGAATTTTAGTCACCCCTCGTGACTAATAAATAATTTGAATAAATATTAAAGAATCACAAAGAACACATGAGTTTTATTCTCTCATTTTATTTTACTTTGCTGGAAAAGAGGAACATTTTTTTTTTTTTTACAACATTTTAAAGAGGTCTCGAGCTGCTTTTTGAGCTTTTGGAAGGTTTATAATTTTTTCAATTTTTGGCTGACTTTTCACAAATGTTCAATCCAAGGCCTGTTCTCAGGTAAATTTGATGTATTTATTTAAAGTCACCTTCAGGGAGTTGCTTCAAACTTTTGCACAGTAAAAGGTGATCAGTCTTTGGTTGGATGCTCCGGTCAGTCACAGTGAAGAAAAAGTTGTGAGGCAAAGCTCTGGATTTCCTGGTCCGAGGACGTCCCAACCCTCGGCTGTGGTCATGATCTCAGCCGAAGTGTGGCGGGCTCACAGATCCAGCTCGTCTGGGTGCAGGTGTCGTGATTCTGTTCATTCCTTTTGTTCTTGTATTTCCTGCGTTCAGTTTTTGTGCGTCCGTCCTGGCTCGGAGCTCGGCTTTCAGCCGTGCTGCCCCGCCAGCCTGTTTGATCAAATCTGTTTGCCTCTTTAAGATCTGAGTCCAGGCCAGTCTGCATTTGGGTTTCGATCTGTGATGAGATTTCTGAGCATGTTCCACGGGTCAGAACCAGAACTCTCTGACTCAGAACAGCTCGGGACCTCAAGAGGAGCTGGAAAGTGTCTCTGGGGTCTGGGTTGCCTCCATGACCCGACTATGAGCAAATGATGCAGCTGGAGTCGTTCTGACAATAAAGATTAAACAAAGATTGGAAATGATTGTTCAAAGTGTTAAAACCTTCAATAAATCCAGATTCCACTTGATGAGTCTGTATGAAGAAGTTCTGCTGCTCGTCTATAAATTCAGTTAGTAATATTAATGTAAAAATATTCTTAGAGAGACGGCGTAGTAACTGTAAAAAAGCTGTTAACAGCGTTAGTTAGCAGAAACTTTACCAGCTTGTCATGTCACAGATATTCTAAAATAAAAGTAACCGTCTTTAAACTCACAAGTCTGTTAGAATTGAATCATATGTACACATTTAATGATAAATAAAGGATTTATTGATGATTTCTCCACAGGTTCGTTTGAAAAATGGAGGGAAGAAGTTTGTGAGTAAACTGCTGAACTTGTAACGGTGAAGGGGTTCTGTTCGGGACCGCCGCTCCAACATCGTTCCTTTCTCTCCTCAGCAGCCACTCCAGAGATTATCTGGACCGCTTCATCCGAAGCCAGGACTCCTCCGCGGTGAACAAGTTCCAGCAAACGTACTGGAGAACCAAACAGACGCTCATCAAGGTCACCGGGAAGAAGGAGGACGAGCACGTGGTGGCGTCAGACGCCGAGCTGGACGCCAAGCTGGAGGTGAGCACGAGGAGCTGTCCAGGAAATGGTTTCAGAGGCAACACGTTTCAACCAAACACTGGACTGTTCTTTGTTTCTGGTGTCCTCCACGCCTTCGGCAGGTCTTCCACTCCATCCAAAGAACGAGCTTGGAGCTCCTGAAGGTCATCGAGCTGTACCAGAGACGGATCTGCTGTAAGCCCAGATTACTTCATGAAATACGAGTTTTAGATGAAAACGAGAAGAAAACTGAGGATTCAGTCGATGTTTTATCTGCATGAAGCCACGAATGTGACTAAAAGAAAGTTTTGTTTCCTGAACGTACCCCCACCCCGTCTCCGCTCTTCTCAGCTCTCTCGCAGGAGGAGAACGAGCTGGGTCGTTTCCTGCGCTCCCAGTGCTCGCAGGACAAAACCAGAGCTGGAAAGATCATGCAGGCGACGGGGAAAGCTCTGTGTTTCTCCTCGCAGCAGAGGTGGGCCTCGCGCAGCTTCTCACAACCTATAGTTAAAGATGATAGATGTGTGAAGACTTCATCCTGAGACGGCCCTTCGTCTGCAGGCTGGCCCTCAGGAAGCCTCTGTGCCGTTTGTACCAGGAGATCGAAACGTTTCGGTACCGGGCCATCTCCGATACGTGGCTGACGGTGAACCGGATGGAGCAGTCCAGGACCGAGTACCGCGGCGCCTTGCTCTGGATGAAGGACGTCTCCCAGGAGCTCGACCCCGACACTCACAAACAGATGGAGAAATTCCGCAAGGTTTGTCCTCCACAGCCAGAACCGGACCTCGTTCCATCTGAGCCCAGCTGGGTCAGAGGCTCCACGTCCGGTTTGACTTCAGTGGTAAACTGAAAACGATTAAATGTTGTTTTTTAATATGCCTATTTAAAATTATTACTTCAGGGAGGAAGTTACTGCCGAGAGCAGCTTAAATACAAATATTTGGCTTATTCTAGCTGTTCATTTCTCAAAAGGTTCAGCTGATTCCTGAATGTGGACAAATGTCTTTGTCTCCTTTAAAAATAGTTATTAGTCTTCTTAAGCTACTTTTAGTTTTCAACTAACCTTTGGTTACTTTTAGCTTTTATTTAGCCTTTTGTACTTTTAGCTTTTATTTAGCCTTTTGATACTTTCAGCTTTCAACTAACCTTTGGTTACTTTTAGCTTTTATTTAGCCTTTTGTTACTTTTAGCTTTTATTTAGCCTTTTGATACTTTTAGCTTTTATTTAGCCTTTTGATACTTTCAGCTTTCAACTAACCTTTGGTTACTTTTAGCTTTTATTTAGCCTTTTGATACTTTTAGCTTTTATTTAGCCTTTTGATACT